ACACACACACACACACAGAGAACCTAAAAGAAACCAGATAGGAGCTTTAACACAGAGCAAAAGTGCCTCTGTTATGCCCAAATTCATTAATTACATACGTATCAGAGTAATATGGCATAGTGTACTTGGTCAATGGGCATTATAGAGCAGAAATAATTTACCTTTATGCACCCTAACATGAACTCAGTGACTTGTTCTGAAGTTAAACAATACTGTGAAAGTCAGAAGCACCACTTCAAGCTTGTGCATAAAACATAAGCATTAAATCGAAAAATTAGTGTTTGTTCATGCATCTGGTCTGAATCTGTATATTTACTTGGAGGACATTTTATTTTTGCAGTATTACACAATTTGTCTTGGGAATAGAAACTACAAGCCCATGAAGAAAGTAGCACACTTGCATATTATTCACATTGTTATTCTGTACAACTCCCTTCTTTATGGTTGTCTTAACAGCCTGAAGCAGCACCAAAGGCTCGATGAATGAGTTTCATAGAAAGCTTGCTGAGCAAAGCCCGAAATCTGTTATTCATGTTACAGCAGCAGTGGCTCTTTCTGTATCTGATACCTACTGTGCAGGAGACATTTTATGCAGAATCTGTACATATTATACTTACATGTAACTTAAATACAGTTTCTTAATGATGATGTTCCACTTTCATTGTCATTCATCTTGTTTTCTTTCTTCTTGTTATATATCTACGATCTACTTATTATTCATTATTGATTCAATAACCAGGACCACACTACAACAGTGTGGTATTAAAGGTTTAATGAAACAAGGACATTGTTAAGGATGGGTGAATGCATGTGAGGAAGGGGAGGAATGTGGGGAAGGAAGTTGTCTGTTTAGGCCTGTGTAGGATAGATGTATTGGAGGCTGGGGAGGAGACTCATTGTGGGGGATGCATTCAGTCACCCAAGCCCCAGATAGAACCTGGAAAAGGAGAGATGTGAGAGGTGTGCACAGGATTAAATAAGAAGGAATGAAAGGTAGGAAGGAAGTATTGATGGATGCAAATAGGGATGGGAAGAGGAAATTGAGACAAGACGGGCTGGATAAATTGATTAGGTATAGGTAGGCTTAACAGATGATAAATCTAACTTCATGTAATGTTACTTTCACCTTAGTTCTTGAAGCAGTCAGGAAATTTGCCCCATGCCAAATAAAACATGCCACACACAAACAAATACGCAGGATGCCAACTAGAATGTATTAACAATATTTATTCACTACAAGTTCCAGTGTTATTTTTCCTATTTGATTTCAACCCAACAGTAAGAACAAGATGTATTTTTATACATATTTACAGATTGGTTTTTACTATTGGCAATATATCACATGTCAGTATTTATCTATATACACAACCCATATACCACCTTGTGTACCACATGCCAACCTATGGCCGGGGTAGAAGATGAGAAGTTTGTTTAATCTGGGTTAAAACTTCAGTAGTTTTCTACTGATTGTGCTCTTTCTTTCCTCTATTGTTCCTGCAAAGGGAGGGCAGAGTTAGAGTAAAATAATCTCAGTTCAGCTTCTTCGGCCTGAAATTCTCTCTAGGGAAGAATAAAGCCAGAGCTCTTAGAAGAAAAGTTCTTCTTTAATGTTGTCAGCCAATGTTCAGGGCAGGGACAGTGGGACAGATGGTGAGTGAAATCTACACAGACAGAAGACTTTATTCTGAAAACTGACCTTTCATCAGTTGACCTTTTTCAGCCTTATCGTGTTTATAAATCAATATGTGTGTGTGTATATGTGTGTGTGTTGCAGGTGGACTGAACCAAAGTACTGTAGCACTGCCACACAGTAGACAGCTTTGAGACAAAACAGAAAGAAAAGTCTGTAATAGGGGCAAATATACTATGATGATGAACAAACATACAGTATTTGCAATTGATCCGCACTGGTACATTTTGTAACTGATAAAATAGTAAATACATTTAAAAATGCAGATTAAAACTAAAAGCCATTTCCATCATGACTTCCAGGCAAATAAAAAAAATAAAATAAAAACCAAGGAGAAACAGGCTTGCTCTCTGATCCAGGTCTGTGTAAACTGTATCACTGACAACAAACTGTGGTGAAAAACCAGTGTTTTCCAGTCTGAAATGATAAGCTAATACCACTCTAGACTAGCTGCCAGCCTTCCCATGTTTTATTTTCTGATTCAATTAACTGTATTTGAGTGCATCTAACACCTACAAGGACGGCATGTATATTTAATAGTCGATAATAGACATTAAAAGTGTTTCTAAAGTCAGTGAAGTCATCTGGACTAATCCACCATAAGTTATGATATTGTATTTGTTAAAGTTGGAGCACTTTCTGTGATGTTAGCACATACATTTGAAGAATTCCATTGCCAAAACATTTAATAAAAGTCATTAATCAGATGCAAAGATAAATTGCTTCAAAGAATAAAACACATTTTCCAATACTGCATGTAACACACAAATAATTCCTGTATCGAATATTGCATCACAGCGACAAGAAATTATTAGTGTTGTGCATTAAATGTAATGCACAATAAAAAATGAGGGTTGGTAAATTTGGGAACACTGTTTGTAAGAATGTTTTTCCACTGGTGACATTTGGTTAAAATATAAAAACAGCAGGTCAGAAACACAGTGATACTTTCTACCATATACAGCATTGGTGCCTATTATTTATAGTAATGTTAAACCATACTGTATTTAACCTTGTGATGAAATGGCAATTACTCATTAGAAAAAAAAAAATCTCTCATTGAAAGCAAAAATACTGTCTACCAAACCCAGCTTGTCTAATGTAACAAAAAGAACCATTTTAAAATTAAGACACATGAGTTGTAAAATCTGTTTTAGTCAGACATGTATTGTATTTTCTTTGATTCACAATCTAGCCTACTGTTGTAGTTACAATATGTACAGTAGAAAACAGTAGGTGTTAGCCTTTGTCAAGGGAAAAAAATCACCTTTAAATATATATTTGTCTCTTTATAAAGCATTTATGAAATAAGACATCCTCTTATCCATGTCTTCTCAAACCAGCACTGATGTGACATGAACCAGATTAGGACAACAGCAAGGATGAACACGGAGAAGACTACGACAATATCCATCTGCAGGTTCAAGTTTAAATATGGGACAGTAGCTTTATGTTGTAAAAGGTGTTGTGCAGGTTTTCTCTGAAAATCCAGCACTTGTGCTATCTTCAAATATAAGCAGTAGTTTGTATGTGCAGAAAAGTTTTGACTTATGTGGTATGGGCAAAGCATGTCATTAGTAAGAGTTATTGTTCATAAGACAGCAGTTTTGATATAAAATGTATCTGAAAAGTGCAAAAAGGTAATTAAAATGTTTGCATTCAATGAATTAAAGTATATTATGTGATGTATTGCACCTAATAAAACCCCTCTCTCTGAGCTTCTAAGGCCATTTCACCCAACACCATTTCATTCTTACACTTTATATTTTAGGTTACTCCCAACAAACATTTAAACATTCACTTTTTCAATGCATAATCCTCATCATCACTATCATTACTGTCAATCAAAATTACAACTGAAATTATTCAAAGTAATATGGACTTAATTTGTTATCCTAAAACAAGGGACACATGCATTTATGTGGGAATCCAAGCTTGCCTTTGTCTCACCATGCAGTATGGACACATTGAGATGAAGATGCCTTGTGTTGCTTTGAGTCCAAAAAAACACAATCGTCACAATAATCCAGCCCTGAAAAAAGATCTGGGAATCCAGGTTCTGCAGGAAATTTCACTCCAGCTTTGTGAAACCATCCAAGTGGTTGAAAAATAGTTCCCACCACACCTGCCAAGAAAAGCCATCCAACAAGGGGATGATCAAATTCCATGTAGTACTTGTCTACAAAATGGAGGGTCCTGTCCAAAGAATTGGCATTAAACGAACTCTGCACTGTAAAATTCCAGTTTGTTTTCAGATAAAAAGGTTGAGACATACAGAAAGACACAGTTGTAAAGGGCAGCGGGCTGCTTCAGCCCATATTCAATCTGTTTTTCATCAGTGGATTTCAAACACAACCAAACACTCATTTAGTCTGGTTTTCAAAGCTAACAGTTTACCAAATCAGACCTCAGACCAGCGAGCCTGCTCTACTCTGGGCGGGCACCATGACAGGCACTGCCCCCATCCTCTCCAGTGTGGCCTGGCTCACCGCGTAGGAGTGCGTGTGCTGCCCGTGCGTGGACGTCACCACCGGTTTGAGGCTCACAGAGCCGTTGCTGCGCACCATGGTGGGAGGGGATGGGGCAGAGTTTGTGGTAACCACCAGAGTCTTGGGTGGCGGGAGCGTGTGGCTGCCATTGGCAAACGATGTCGTTGTTGCTGTTGTGGCCTGCGCATGGCGGGACAGTGGGGCTGAGCCTGGTGCTGTGACCACTGTACTGTGGCCATGTCCTGCGTTCTGGGCCTGTCCGTGTGCACCATGAGCGGTGGCGGAGAAGGTCTGACGAGTGTCTCCATTGTAACGTGTATAGGAGTTGGTGTCATAGTTGGGTTTGGGGTTGTGCCAGTAGCGGCTGTTGTAGGTGTTGGTAGATGTCAGTGTGTCATTCTCTGAGGATGAGGCGTCTGCATGGAAAGCCTTCACTGATGATGACCGCTTGGGAGGAAGATCATCTTCTCTGTTAAGAAGATATATGTTGATATGAGTGATATTAGAAATTATAGCACTAAGATAACCAATTAGTTCATCTTAAAATATTTAGCACAAATCCTCTCTGCCACATTAAAAATTTAAAGAGCTTCTCTATGCAGTCAAGTTGCAAGAATCTAAATACTACTTATTTAATCATTCCATCAATCATTTGCTCTCACATCTTTCTGGACTCTGTTAAATATACAGTGGGTTGTCACACTTGAACCATCAGTACAAATAATGCAACAAAGGTGACACAATTCTCCAAAATAATAAAAAAAAAGAGAGCTATCATTAATTTGATCATGAAAAACCATATTGTGTTATTCTCTTGTAGTCAACACAAACAGTTTTATCATACTTTCAGTGTATGTGAAGTGGATGTTTTGAAATGAGGCTAACAAAAGGAAGAGTTTGGCTCCTGATACATTGGCTGAGATAAAAATATATTCATTGTGATTTACTCTTAGTGGGTAAAAAGCAGAGCCGTAGGGGTGGAAACTGAATTAGGGATCATAGTGCAGCTCAAAATGAGGCAGATGTTATCCCAATCAGCCAAAGCTTCAGATATGTCTACAATGATTTATCTTCCAAATGATTCATGGAGTGATTTAGGGAAGAAGCTGTAGCCCATTTAAAAAACTGACAGAGCTTCACAAAGTGTTTGAAAAGGCAAATTAGCCTGTGATGATAGAAAATTTGCTGCCAGGGGATAAAATTGAGCTGAATTATCCCAACTTTAAATCCAATTTACTGGCCAGTGTTTTCTGAGCTGAATCTGTGTGACTGCAGTGCTGACACACTTATTGGTCTGCACCTTTTAAAATACAACAGATAGATAGATAGATATTCTCCATCCTGCCACAGTCTAAAATACATATAGACAGTAAACAGTAAACAATCTCTGTTTGACTTCAGACATTCCATCCAATGCATATACATTAATATTATGTTTGTTGTATAATAGATAATATAATGTGTTATAATATCTGTTCTACATGCATGCTTTACAACCTTTTGGTTGCACTCACTCAAAAAACACAAATCAAAGCCAAACCTGATCTCATTGGGGATCTCCTCCTCGTCATATTTGTTCTTGTTCTTCCAGTAGAAGAGTGTGACCACCACTAACAGGGAGCAGATGATAACAGCTAGGACTCCTGTAGCGATGGTCCCTGCTATCAGACCCACACTCTGAGGCTGGGCTGCAGGGCAGAGAGACAGGAGGAGAAAGTTTTACAAAGGTTTGCTAAATAATTGACAGTATGTTCAATCCAAATCATCCACAATCAGCCTCCTCTGAGAGCTGGTTGGATGGGGCTGCAGCAAACTAAATAACAGGAAAAAAGTAGAAGAATGAGAAGATACATACAGTAGCAATCAGGTTTTTTAGAATTTAATAGAAGCTGCTAATACTCAAACTTTCTCTGGTAGCAGCAATTATATTATGTGTCAGATGACACTTGGCACACTAGTATGTATGGCATCTAGTGGTGGAGTTGCAGATTGCAACGAGCTAAATATCCCTCTCCCTGCAAATTCCCTTTTGCAAGTGTGTATGAGAACCACTGGTGGTCACAAAATCCAAGTTGCCACCTTAAACAATGCAAAAGGTCCTCTCTAGAGCCAGTGTTTGCTGTGTCTGCTCTGGACTAGTGTTGTAATATGGCTATGTAATAAAGTAGCTCCATAGGATCCGCTCCCTCTGTAGATTAAAAACAGCTTGCTCTAAGCAAACAATTATTATATTTCAGGTGATTATACACTAATGAAAAAATAACTCTGAATATTATATTCAGTTTATCCCAATAAATACAACTAAATCATATGCACTGGACCTTTAAATGTGTATTAACCAGTGTTTTCACTTGAGTTGGGGGTATTCTATACTAATGTACAACATAATACAATAGGTTTATCAGTTTTTCCAATAATCCTTGAGTTAAACAGGAAACAGCAATGGAACAGAACAGAGTGACATTTACACCTGTGTCATGTTGGCATTGCCTGCAACGCCCACTGTTGTCTCTGACAGACAGACTCAGCTGTCTGTCTGTATGTATTTCTGACATGGAGTGTCAGCCAGTCTGTCAGACACACAAAAAGACTAAAAACCATGTTACTGTCAAACTGTTTGACCCTGTATGACCCAAACTCTCTGTCTTGTTGTGTGTGGGGAGCGCTGCTATCTTCAAAATGTCTTGTCCTTTGTTTGGTTGTATTGTTTGTTTGCTTATTATTCTGTTTATCTGACTGTTTGACAGTGTCACTCAAGCAGACGACTTCTAACTTTATTCCCATCTGTCAGTGCTTGAGATGAGGAGGCAGCTTTTCCATCTATAAACAAACACAGCCATGAGTCAGCTGGTCTATATGTGACAATAATGGCGTCACATGGCCCCAGCAGTAAAGGAGCAGTTTGTTTGAGTGTACTTACGTGCTACAACCTGCAGGTTGAGCAGACAGGTGCTCTTGCCAATTGCATTGCTGGAGGTACACTGGTAGAGTCCTGAGGTGCTGGTGCTGATGTTTCTCAGTGTTACAGTGCCCTGCATCTGGTCTGAAGGAAACACACACACAGCCACATGGTAATTAAAGTGACTAAAACACATGGATGCACACAGCACAGTGTGGAAGCGGACCAAATGCATATTTAAGAAAAAAAGAGTGCAAAGTATAACATCAGAGTAAATTTTAAATTTAAACTGAAAAGGTCATTTATAATTTGAGTAAAGCAAGTCAAGTTTGGTCCATTTTAGTATCAAATCTTGTGTATTGTATGACGTATATGTATATCTACCAATAGAGGGTGCTATAAAGCTTTAATGTAAGGTGTGCAAGTAAAGCACAGTAAAAAAGCTGCAGATTCCTTTCTTTCACAAATGATGAATGGGTTTATTCGTCAGCTTAGAATCATAGAGCTGTACACTGCTGGATTCAATAAAAAGGAAGCAAGCCAGATTTTCACTTGTTCTCTTTACAATGGCATGACAGTTGTCACAGCTGTCTGTGTCAAACTAAACTCACATAGAGACAAGACTGACACTAACAAATCCAGGATTGGATTTAAATTTAAATCAAATGCAAACAGCAGAAGAAGACGGGCACAAAGCTCAATACAAAACTTGTATTGTAAAAAAGTTAAATAAACATGTCAAACCAGGTGGGCTCTCTACCATCCAGCAGAGGAGCTGTATTGTAAACCAAGAAGTGTAAATAGATTTAATGAAACTCTTGAAGCACTATAAGCACATTGTTTAATAATATAATTTTATAAGTTGGTCTTTCTTTCTTATTTTCTTTATTTTGATACAGTACTGTGATTTTTTTCATATAGTCTAAACTGAAATATCTCAATAAACTATCTCTCAAATGGTCGATACTGATGCAACTTACACACAATCGGGGTTTAGAGAAAATGCTCTTAACAGCATACAAATGTAACTATGAAAAACGTGGTTTAATTTTGTGCAACTGCAATTTTTGTGAGATACATTTTGGCCTCTTTGAAGCTCTGTTAGATGTTAACATATCAAAGGGCTGATTGCCATTAATTCCAATTAGCATCTCAGAAATGCTGATAATAGATGTGTTTCTTTAGTCTATTCCCAGTGTATATACTATTTGTCTCTATAGCTGTTTAAGAAAAATATTTAGCTTTATTTTTTGTGGAAATCTGCTATTTGCAATTGATTTTACAAATTGGCCTTCTATATTGAACAGTAGTGTACAGACAAAGAAAGCGATTGGTGGTAAAGATTACTTGACTGTGCAAAGAGCACAGCTGGAAAAGAAAGGAGAGTCCACCACACCGACGTTCTCTGATACTGAAAACCAAAACTCCAATACTCCTATAATACTCCTGTTATTCTGTGAGGAGATGGATGGGTGGTAGGTCACCGCTTAGCTGAAGCTGAAGCAGTATGGCCATATTGATTGCATCAGTCCAGTGCAACAAATGGCAAGATTCTGGAATAATTCAGAGTTGGTATTCAGCATGAGAGAATGGGGAAAAACAGAAAAACACCACATTCACATAATCATCTAGGTTAATTACACAAACACATTCCCGACACACATGCTCATTCACAAATTCACACAGTCTGAATCACCACCATCCATCCATCATCACCCCTCAGCAGGATCAGCAGGGTCAGTAGGGGTAGTGGTTCGGGCCTGGCAGATGACAGGTGGCTGAGATGGTGGGATTGTTGCTGAGTCTGAGCTACGCTATGTGTGTTTGATTTACCAGCAAAGGTGGGGCAAAAGGGAACTCCGACGGCCAGCTTGTTTGTAATACCTTGCATGGCGTTGTGCGGCAGCTTGGGCAGCGCGTCCAGTTTCTCCCAGGAGTAGGACGGCGTGGGAATACCTTCATCAGAGCTGCAGAACAACATGATGTCACTGCCGACATCCAGCGTGCCCTGGATTCGACATGCTGGCACCGAGGGGGGCACTGGCAGATGGAGAGAGTGGGCGGTGTCATGTTGACTACTTCACAAAGCACATCTAATATTTTCCTAATTGAAGAGGAAATTATGAACAATCTCTATTAAATTAATAATAGAACGTTTTTTCTTATATATTGCTTCATTAGAAAATGATTCTCATGGTTACTTACAAACTAAATAATACAGTTTCAACCTCCTACAACTTGTCATAATGATGACTGTTTAAAATGTTACTGTTTACCTGTCTTTAGTGTTCTATAATTGGCAGGAAATGCTGCCCTCCAAGTAGAGGGACAAAGCAAGCAAACTTCAGACAATGAAATACTGGATATCAGATAAAAACAGGTCAAAAAGCAGCAGTTTTTGTGATTACATATTTTCTTCCTTTGAGACATGTTTTGGGCAATCAGGGCAAATCTGCATGGTCTCAGTAAATGGATTTTGTTGCAGCAGACGTAGCTTTAGCCCTGCCTTTCCTATCTTAATTTTTTAAACATTACAAATAGAAAATAGTTACCCAACACGGTGAGCCCAATGACGCCGATGTTGCGCCCCCCTCTATCTGGGAAGTTGTTGACCAGGCACTGGTAGGTCCCAGTGTCGGACAGCTGGGTGTTGTTGATGAAGATGGAGGCACTTGTACTTGGCATGGTGGCCACAAAGCCCACACGACCATTGAGGTGGTTGGCGAGGCTGAACACCTGGCCGCCCTGGTAAATTATCACCTGGATTGGGATTTCAGAAGGTAGTGGGTGTAAGAAATAGGGATAAAGAGTTAAAGGAGATGAATTACAACAAATGAGATATTTTTAATCCTAAGAAAAAACTGAAGAATCTCCTCCTGTTGTCCAAAGAAATGCAGCAGATGTTTTTATACTCCTTAACCTCAACACTTTGTGTCATTCTTGGACATTTCCTCAAATGGCCTGTTACATATAACATTCACTAGAGGGAGACCTAGTTCTACTAAGAGGCTGAAAAGTAGCTTGACAGTGGACAGAAAAACTAAAGGAGTCACTAGAATTATGTATGTCCTAAGAAACAAACAAACAAACAAATAGACAAAAAAAACTTTTATTAGTAAGTGGTTCTTTCTAGTTCAGTGGGTAGATTCCAGAGTAAGGAGAACATACTGAAAGTATGCTTTCATGGTACTCTTCAGATAAAAGCATCCACTAAATGGTATGCATAATTGAAAACATTTTAACTTGGATTCATCAGATTGCAGTTTATATTTTTCCAACAGTAGCAATGCAGAAAATCTGCTGCACAAGGAATAAGATCTAGCTAGAAATGAAACCAAAACTTAGCCCTTTTATCATTACAACAGTGACTTTTGAGGGTGATCACTTGTAAGGCAGAATTCACACCTTCAGGTTCAGGTGAGTTTGTCTAATGTCCGAATTGAAGGGCAACGAAGCATCAGCTTGTTCAAAAGCTTCCCCCAGGCCTCAAACTCAACTAAACAGCTCGTTTTTGAGGCCGAGCCACATGCAAAACAGCTCTCACCCTCAGCTGGGCCCACACAAAAGATGAAGAGGACGCACACAAACACATGGTATGTGCACGCAAGTCTGGAACACACGCACCGACTCACACACAGACACGCACACACACGTACACACAAAGCACGGAGGGGAATCAGAGGGGCTATTCACTTTGGTGAAAAGGGCCCTTATTGAACTGTTCAAAGACCCAGGCAGGGAAACAACCAGCACCAGTGTGTGTGTGTGTGTGTGTGTATGCATGAGAGTGAAAGTGCAGGGGTGTGTATGTGACTGTGTTCTCCATCGCTGCTTAACGGTTGTAAATTGCGCGGCTGCAATTTCCTGAGTGCAGTACGCTCGCTTTGTCCTCTTATGTGCAGATGAATAGGCAGCCCCTCAGCTGTGATGAGAGCCTGCAACTGCATCTTCTGTGTGTGTGTGTGTGTTTGTGTGTGTTTCAGTGTCTCTGTGTTTATTCATTTACTCATGGTGAAGTGTATCAATTTTGTGAAAGTGTGTGATTGTTCTATTTCCCAGGCTGATAACTTTGTGGTGTCACCTATATTCTGTCTGTCCACTCACTCCCTGTCTGTCTGTCTGTCTGTCTGTCTGTCTGTGCTTACCTCTCTGTTTCCCTTTCTAACAGATTTCACCGGTATGACCTGGCTCTACACTCCTGATGACCTAACAGTATAATCTGCATGCTCGGTGAAAGTGATCCAATCAATCGGCCCCACACACAATACATGAGGTTCATGTTTGCATGTGTGCATGAGTGAGCGGAGGATTAAAGCAGGCCCAAAACTGTGGTGCATGTTACACCTGTCCCTGCATTTGTATTTTTCTGAATTCAATGCAGGTATTTGTTTTCTGACATTTAAAAAAACAGCGACAAAAAGGACTAAATCAAGCTCAGTACTGTACGGTATGTCAAGATAGACAGACAAATGTCTACTCATGCCACATTCCACCAGTTTTCTAGACTTTGTGTCTCTGTGTCCACTGTGTTGAGCCATCCATATCTATGTGTGTGTGTATAAATCACCTCATCCTCTCGTGTGACCTGGTTGGCTTTGTAGTGATGCGCAGGGAGAAAGGAGGTCATGGCTGGCACTCAGATGGCGGACGGCCCTAAGAACTCTAGCTGGACTAGCTGGACGTCCCACTGCTGGCCCAGCGGTAAACCTCTGCTACATCCTTACTCTCCTAAAACCCTACGCACACACACACACACACACACATACACACACAGTACAAACATTCGCTCACGCTCTAACTATATTATCTTGCTCTACAATCCACACTGTATAGTGTGAGCCACAACTGGATTCACACAGTAAACCTTCAGATATTGTCTGTCACTACCAGTCTCATGACATTAGCCTACTTCTGACTGACCCGAAGGACCCTGTTGGCCGCAGACACGAGGGACACTGCCATCGCCTCAATAAAGCTTGAATAAACCTCTAAACCCCAGCAGCCTCCCCTCAATTTACTAACTGTAAGCTGCCACTGTTATCTCTTTCTATCCTCCGAGACATGTTCTGAACAATATAGGCCCAAATCCATGTTTACTAGTATATCTCTTTATTTAGCCCATGATCTCCTTATTATGCATCTATACCATACCTTATTGCCAGTAACTGTTTAGAATTATCATCCATTTGCTGTGCTTCTTTGTGGCACATTCAATGACACTACAACAATGGTGTCTTTTGTTTTTAAAGTTATGTTTTAGTTCAAGTCATTATTGTTTGGGAGTGCTGACAGAAAAAACCCTCACTGTTGGTCAAGAAGTCAAGTCAGGTCAAGTTTACTTCTGTTGCCCAGCATCAAGTCTAAATGGGTTTTTCAGGTCTACATTGGCAGCTGTTTCCAACCCAATACATATTACCAAAGAAGACAAGGGAAAAAATAAACGGTTTCAATTCATAAATGCAATTTAACTGTAATAGTCAACAGGGCACATTTGATCTTAGAGTTTAAGGTGTGCGATGTTACCAAGGGATCTGTGTTTGGCGTGATCAGGGTGGATTAGTGATCTGTGCCCTTCAGCTAAAGGTAAAGGCTCATAACAGCAATGATTCCTATGTGCTCTCAGGAAAGACATTACTGGTGAGAAAGACTGTACTGTCGCTGACGCTGCATACTGATGTCCCTAGAGGGAGGCAAGCGAATAAAAAAAGAATTTTCTTAGTGCTGATCAATAAAAGGTATCACATTATTGTATATGAGAGTGTGTTGGAGCTGAGTGTATGAATTGTAGTGTAACCTCTCCTCAGCCTCTCTACAGAGATAGGCCATTTTTTACTAGTCTGAAATGGGACCTTGCTCAGTTCCTTTTATGTGTCCAGCTAAAATTATTCCCGCAGGGTTCAAAGCAGGCAGCGAGGAGAGAAAAAGTTTATATTTGAGGGTATGTGAACGCAGTGTCTATTCGATCGATGCTCTGGCAGATTGTTAGGTTCAGATAAGGATCAGAATCTGATCATCTGACAGATGTTCTCAATTACAGATTAACTTCATTTCTGCACCACAGATTCTCTATGACCTCAATTTCGCCAGAGCCTCATTTCGATAACACAGCACCATTTTTACCCTTTCAGTTACAAAAGTCAGCATGAGTCCCCTTCCAGGAATTTAAGAAAACATATTTAAGAAATGATACAATGATGCTGCAAAAAGTTTTTTATTCCTGGATTGATAAAACTTTCTCAACAAAGTTCTCTCTTCAACTAGAGCAAGTAAGGAGACTTCTGACAATATTAAACTGCCAGGCTCACCGCACTGAAGGGATGTCTCCAAAGTGTTGTATATAAATGTTTAATATATCAACTATTTTAATGAATGCAACTACAAAATCAGTTCCAGGAATTAGTTTCACAGGTGGTGCAAGAGGAGAGTGAACCTGAAGCTTTTATTAGAGCATAAACAACAGATATCCAGCAAACAGTTTAAAGAGGATAAACAACAGCTTGTAAACATAAAACCACTGTCTAGTTGTATGTGTGTGTGTGTGTGTGTGTGTGTGTGTGTGTCTGTTTATCTGGATTATCACACACCTAGTGGCCCAGAGGTTGGGCCATTTGATCACAACAACAGAATGATGGACAGATTATATACACAGAAAACAACACATAAACATGCACACACACCAAAACACATGCGTACATTCCACTGAGCTACAGGCCTACATGTTGTAATCTGGAGATCAGCTTGTCAGGTGATCAGAGTAAACAAACTATGACTGCAGCATGGCTGACAGTTACAGTTACAAAAGTGTCAGCCTTATAAAAAAGTTTATATTAATTTATTTTTTTTATTTTTTTATAATTTTTATTTTAATTTTATAATAAATACAAAGAAGCTAATATAAAGTTTGTCTCTTGTTTCTGACTTGTAAATAGAATTCACATCAACATCCAAGGCATAACTACAAAATCTGCACATTATTCCCTTTCTTGCCACAAGTTAGATGAGAGGATTGATACCACTCTCATGTCGGCCAATTGAATATAAAGCCACAGCCAGAAGCCGGCTAACGTTGCTTCGTGTGTCTTTTATTTTAATCGTCCGGAATATTGTCAATGCACAGTATTTTTAACCCTTGCACGACCAGCTCGGTAATCATACACTTAAGTTGTCCAATGACTTGAACACTCACAAGCCAAATCTTTCACATCTCTACACCATACTATAAAACAAGGAAAGATCATTCAACCAATACATTATATTCTTAAACTTGCAATAACAGATTTTTTGGCCACTTGGGCTCAGTGGAAACAAAATGTAATGAACACAACATTGACAAAATTATTTTATTATCTTATTATATTAAAGTTGTTATGGTGAACTTGTTAGCAAACACTTCCTATTTTGTCTTTAATCGATTGCGCACATAACACAGGTTTACTCATAGCGTTAGAGCCATGAGGGACCTATTCAAGAGACAGACTCCACTCCGCAGTGTAGTTCCATACACTTATACACTGATAAACCCTAGACTTACACTGAATTGCATTGAATAATTACCAGATAAAAGTTTATTGACAGATATGAAAAACTGACACGTAAGTTTCTCATGTCTGTCAATGAAACAAATGATGTCTCAATGTTGATATCCCCAGTTCATCGAGCAGCCTCTGATTTGCATCCAAAACAATCCAAGATGGTTGACCTATTCAGACAGACCCCCAATGTGGTTTTGGGGTCTTATTTACACATCCAATTTGTCAGTGTTATAATTCATTTGGAGTTGTTTTGATTTTTGTTTCTGTCCACCTGGTGAGTCCAATATTTACTCTCTTTTAGCTCTGGCTCATTCTCCACCAACTCATGAGAGAATTATCTGGCTCTTTCTGCTGTGCTCCACTATGTTCATAGCTAGTCGCTAATTGTGTCTGGTGCTGGAAAGGTAGTCTACACTGGGTTTTTAGAGCTTTCTCTCTGAAAAAAGCTGCCTGCTGCAGCCAAAAACAACGCTATGAGAATGGTGCAAGTAAACCAAAAAACCTGGTAACCTTGGAAAACCAAGCTAACAAGCTAAAAGATGAAGATAAAGTCATCAGCTGTGCTTTGTATTCATTACTTCAGAGATCAAGTGTCATAGATGCATCAGGCTGGCACACTTTCTCCACTCATAAACATAATATATAAATATATATTACTCATACTGTAAGTTTTATAGCCTATGTGGAGTCAACCATGTAGGCTTAAGGCCTTAGACCACAGGGTAGGTCTTAAACATCATGGCAAGCATCAAGCAAACATCCAACAGGATTCATCTGAGCCACAACAAACAGCCGAATTTGCAAGGACAAAGAGGCTAGTGCATCTCGTGCCTTCCAGCAGCGCTAAATAAGTTGCATTGTCTCCTGTTATCTGAACATGGTATTCAAATTTGAGCAGAGAGAGATCTGAGTGGTCCGAGTGCACTCGCTAAAGCGCTAACGCAGGTTGTGAGGGTGTGCAAGTGTGCAGAGTTCTGTTCAGTAATTCTTAATGGCTTTTAGCATCAACTGTAATCATTTATGACATTCTCTTCCTCTAAAATGACCTTGTACTTGTTCTGTCGCCCCACGCAGCACTTTATTTCATCACTCACTTTTTAGACAGCTCGCCAAATTCACACACAACCTGATTGTAGAACTGTGGTTCATACAGTATTTGTTTTTTCCTGTATGTAGCTGCATGGGCTGTGTATGCCACTGTAACAATGCAGACTTAAAAACTTGTGTATGCATCACTGTGCCTTCACCCAGTGTTCCCTGGTATACAAATACATCAACCGTATTATGTATATGCCATATGTGGTATATAGTGTGAAAGCATAGCATGAGAACGCATGTTATAAAGCCTTCTACATGTATCAGCTCCCATTCTCACTTACCTGGCATCTAAAAGTCTCATGAATTCATGCATGAAAAAGTGCCTATACGTGTTTGTGTTCAGTGTTGTTTCTAGTTCCTTTGTAGGTATTTGTGTGTGAAGACAACATTAAAAGCCCTTATCCACAGGTGTGCACATGGGATCATTACTTTGTGATGTGTGCATTTAAGTACGTATGGAAATATCAGTTTTCACACTTCTGTGGTGCACTCTGCATGCATTTATGTGTGAAACTGTAAATATATATAAGCTCTGCGTGTATGCATGTAGATCTGCACTGCATTTGGACCAGCAGTTTGTCTAATGCCAGTTTGTGTGTGTGTGTGTGCGTGTGTGTGTGTGTGTGTGTGGGGTGAGAACAGCTGCGATATAGAGCCTGTCGTGGGCGTGAGGTAATTAGTGCAGAAGATGATTGTATTATTTGGACGGCCGACCAGCGCCGGGGTTCAAAGTGAAGGGAGGCAGGTGAGCTTGTACGGCCTGCAGCTGCATGTTAAACAACTCAAATGGAATCACAGAAGTCCCGCAAGGGGGGAGGAAGAGTGAGAGAGAGAAAGAGGGAGGAAGGGAAGGTAAGGTAAGAAAAAAACAGAAAGGAAATGAGTGTAGCAAGCCAGGAAGGAATGATGGTGAGAAGCCAGAGAGACAAAATTAACACTAAGACATAACTAAAGTCTAAATCATGCTGTGTTTTTGTGTGCAAATTAGACTGCTGCCAATGTTCCCAAACAAATTCACAACAGCTTCAGGATGCTCTGGCAGTACAGTTAATACATTGTTTTAAAGGTAGAAAAGTGCTACATGGCATTGCTGTCCTGCAGGCTGCAGTACAACTTGGAAAGTGATAAGAGTTATCTAGACTATGGACACACCTGAAGCTCACTACTACAGCTATATTCTTCTATTATAGTCATCTAATATCTATAACATGACTCATATCCTACAGGTGCGTTCAGATGCACCGGAAAGAGAAATGTTGTGTCTTTGTGCATTTTTGCCACTGCATATTTGGCATAAATGTACAAATATATATAGCACGTTAGCATGAGTTTAAGATTATCGCCGTGAGCGAGAGCCACTGCTGTCATGTAACTGCATTGGATGTCCCTGAAGCCCTAAAGATTCTCTCTCTGTGGATGCATTGTGCAAATTTCTCAATTCTTTGAGAAAAAAGTTTTAAATTAGAGCAAATATGTCCCTATCCTAATATGGGCCTCGTTTCTCAATCTGTGTCTATTTGCCTCTATTTGGGTTGTTTATCTGACTTTCTATGCATTTGTGCAACCTCTGAAATTCTCTTTGCGCTGTATCTGAGCACACCTTAATACATATCAAGTCTTGTGTACCTGCTTTGACTGTAGGGTTGGTGTTGGGAAGCAGCATAGACATCCACGTGATGCATATACAGTAATGTTGCATTAGAAAATACGTTAGATGCATATCAGTAGTACCGTATACATCTCGCAAAGTACCTAAATAGTGCACTGCATCTCTGGCAGTTGACCGTCTCTCTTAATTCAGCACTGCTTCTTTGCTGAAGAAGCTAAAGGAATGCTCAGTCACTGTGATTGAGTGGGTGCAGAGAAGACACACACTGTACCTGTTCTGGCTGGTTAGCATTGGACAGTGGTATCACCATCCAGATGATGTTGAGGTTGTTGAGGGCAGCGCTGGTGGTGAAAGAGCAGGGCAGGACGGCTGCTTGGCCGCGGGCAACCTGGATACTGCTCTGGGACACTGTCACATCCAGCGCCCGCACAGACACTGCAGGAGGAAGGAGGCAGTGATCAGTGACTTGATACACAATAGATAAGCACATACAAGGTGTAAATAAGTAAAAATACAAGAACAGAGAGAGAAGAGAAGACATCTAAATGCAGCAATTGCAACTCCCAACAGATGCATCCACTACTATCCCTTCTATAATGACTTAAAGATTGCTTATATCAGTTATATTGAAAAACCTGAGTGTGTCAGAGATAGAGACAGAGGGACAGACATATAGACAGAGGGAGGGGATGTCTATGAATACAGTAATAACCAGCAAAACCTCTTTAAAAAGAAAAAAAGTTGTGTAATCTCTCAGTCCGCCCTTTCTTTGCTGCCTTTTCATCTTTACAGCAAAACAAACATGATTTCCGAACTGAGCTCCTGTTTTGAATTGCTCTCAGCAGCTAAACAAACATCTAGATCACACTGTGAAGGATAACATGAAATATGTAATAGTTAAATGGGGAAGCACGATAGGCTGTCTCTTGAGTTATTCATTTCCTAAAACTACTTGCTTCTTGCTGCTTTCATGGGAACACAGTCTGTATCAATACATACTAAACGAACATGACAAGTGGGGATAGTAATGGTTATTTTGGAAACAATTTGCTGCTTCCTGTGCATATGCAGCATACTAAACAACCATGATAGCTTGCTGTCTTGTGCAACAAAGGTCTTCTAAGTCTTCTAAACTAAGGAACTAAGGAGCTGCTTTCTTCATCTGGGCTTAGCTGTCAGCCATAACAGACCGACTGAGACAAATATGTACATGGAGCATCCTATTTCTAGACCAGCTAAAGACATTACAGCCTAAATTAAGTTAGATCTCCCCCGCAAGCATGTATCCATGTCCAAAAAACCCAATGGGAAGTAATCTTATCTAAACATGGTGAGGAGGATGATGGCACTGATATGATTACAGATAATTGATCATGTCCTGTGAATCGTCCTTGTTAGTGATAATGTAAGATGATGATCTTGCGATAAGCCAATGGTAGAAACCACCAGCTTGTAATTTGTTCGGTATGTAGGAGTCAAGCCAGATGTCAAGTGCAAGCAATGACCACCTCGCACAACAAAACTTAAATCTCACAGTGAACCATATATTCACCTATCTGTATTATTTCTAGGACACAAATTGTAAGGCATTTTCAATCTGCTGAGAATTTAAGTGTCATTTCTGCCGAATATGGGTTTTGAATATCACCCTCACATTCTAGCTGACAGACTGCCTGTTGCTCCCTCTCTGTCTGTCCGAAACCTGCTGACTTCCTACGCTTTCCTTCTGCTGGCAGACACCACACACCCTGCAGGCTCACTGCTGGCACGGGGGAGATAGGCAGGGCTGGAACTGCTCCGCTCAGTTATGGTTTATCAGACATATATATTCAGGAAAAAGACTTCCCATAAATTATGCAAGCTATTTCACTTAAAGGCATTATATTCCACTGGAATGTCAATATGGATCATGTACAGTATGATTCCTCACTCTAACTCAATTGCTTAAAAAAGACTGTACGTTAAACAGCACGACAATCTGCTCAGAGCGTACGTCACGACGCAGCTAATGAGTTCCCATTACCCGTTATGACATCTACAATCTCAGGCCATGATTATAAATACAATGAATAACGAACTCTTAGGTCACTACAACTCTAATCTGATCTTCTTATATCCTCTGTGTACACAATGTTCACTTCATGCGCAGAATCAATCTATGCTCTTATTGGAGGATTAACTGCAAAGAGAAAGAAGTTCATACAAAAGGTTACAACCTTAATTGTATTGGCCACATGAGATCAGTGTTAGTGTTTATTCTCATTGCCACATCAGTATTAAAAGTGTTTAGGGAGGAAGAAAGACAGGAAGATTGAAGAAAAGAAAGAAAGAAAGAAAGAAAGAAAAGAACGAAAGAAGAAGTCCTAGAGGAATGAAGATGGAAGGAGCATCTTATCGTCCCTAAGCCTCCTCCAAGGCAGCAGTCTCTCAAGCCCACAACAGCTGGAGGGCTCATTTCAAAACACTGGATTAGGGAACCTCTGCGCTCAGAGCCTGTAAGCTCCCACAACCCAAGAAGAAACACACACACACACACTCAAAATCACAAACAAGCACACACACATACATGCTAGCAAACATGTGCACGCAGACTGTACACATATACATACACATGCCCTCCAACACAGACACACACAACATGACCCACACACTACCATGCACACATATTCAAACTCATCAGTGTTTGTCATTGGTGACATGTACAGTAGCCCGTTAGGGACATCTAAGAGACGAAGACAGGAATGGCTCGACAGCTCACCAACTAAACTGCGGCATTGCTTGGCATTGCCTCATTATTGCACACACTTCTGCCAAAGCTTTAACTGTTCAGCTCCTTTCTTGGAGCATGACCGGTAGACAATCGCTCTTCCAGAATGAATACTGTAAAGGGTGAGCGACTCATTGTCAAATATGGCCACCCAGATAAAAAATGTATTGACTTCGGTATGATGTATATCGTGTGATTGTGATACTACAAAGAGTATAGCAATATATTTACTGACTTTATGAAACGCTCTCACTGACAGGCCAGGTTTTGAGCTGTTACTTGATTGTTCTTTTCTTGCATGTTTCATTACCATTCTAGCCCAGGGCTGAGTGCAGCACACAGTTCTGCTTCTGCTTCTTCATGTCTTCAGGCTGACCTGCATACGTGCAATGTAGACGAGTTGTCCATCTCATTTGGGTTTTCCATTCAAGCATCTCCATTTTTCTGTCGACAAACATCTTGTTCCCTGGTTCTTTTTTCTGCAGCCCTGAGCTGCCCCAAGGCACAGCTCAGCAGGAACCACACCAGCCTAACTGACGGCAGAAACTAATCATGCTTGCTCTCCCTGACACTGACCACCTACAGTAACACCTGTAATAGATGAGTGCTGCATTGTTGCCTTCATTAGTCCCCAATAAAAGACCTTTACTACTTTCAAAACTCATGATCATTTGTTCATGTCATTTTGATTAAATTATGTCAATTATCCACTGACTAGAATGACATATGATTTAAGTCAACAAAAATATGTTGACGAACACCAGCTGTTTAAATATAGATTCAGCAAAATTAACACTTCATTATTGACTCAGTATGCAAACTTTAGACATTTGGCAAGCTATCCGTTTATCTGTGAGCTGCAAGCATTCACATACAGGAGCTCGGAAACACTGTCAAGATGAGATTGCCTGTCCGTGATTGTATAACAAACCATAAGCCAAGAAAAGCATGCATTTGATCATTTTCATCTCCTGTTGTTTTTCATTTTGCATGTTTTTGTTAATTATAAAATGACAACAATATTGAGAATTTGTCTGCAAAAGAAATTCCTAGTTGGAATTAATTTCATGACAAGACAAACATGAGCACCACTTAAAATAGATAGACCATGTAACTCCGAATAAAATGATTTTACTAATAAGAAAGATCTTAAAAGGGGCATTTTTACATAATTTAATTTACCATTTTGTTAGCTTATGGTGCCGTTTTCATAAAGATTTTGGACCATTGACAATTAATCATAGACTAAAGACAAGTGATGTGCTACTCAGCATTTATGATCATAATGTTTTATATAGAGTGAAAAGGACAGAGTAATGCAAAGAAAATAAAGGCACAAGTAACAAAGGACAAAGTAAAGGGGAGGAAGAGACGGAGGAAGAGAGGAACAAAGTGGTGTGACGGATGGGCAGAAGTTTGAGCGGTAATGGACAAGGACGGGGAGGAGAAAAGCACAAGAGAAAGGATGCACCATGAGAAGAGAGGGAGAGAAGACGGATAGGGAGGAACAGAGAGGAAGAATATCAGAAGAAAGAGTAGAAGAAAGAGTAGAGGAGGAGTGAAATAGGGGAGGATATAAGGAAGGAGGGGGATGCGGCTGTTTCCAGAGAGGCCTAATAATTGATAAAGTCACCCAGGGCAGTGCTAGCAGTGCTGGAGTGAAGGAGAGAACCAACAGTGTGGCTCCGTTAAAGCAGCTCTCTCTCCTCATTCGGGAGCCAAGTGTCAAAACTGCTGTTGATTAATGCATGAGAAAACCATGCACCTCAGAGAGCATGGAAATCTGTGTGTGTGTGTGTGTTGGTGTGTTGTGTGGTGGGTTGGTCGTGTGGGTGTGTGGTGTATGTGTGTGCACGCGCTTACTCACTCAGTCAAACTAAGGTGCAGTCAATATGGGATGGAGAACAAATGCAGGGTGAATACAACACTTCCACTTTCACTCACTCAAACACTCTCTCTCTCTTTGTCTCTCTATCTCTCTCTCTCTCTTACACACACACACACAGACAATCCCTGCTTGGCAAGTCATTTGCATTCTCTGTTTTTATTCATGTGGCTCTTTTATTCATAGGCTTTACTTTTATTTCTGTTTCAAACAGATGCCCCTGATGCTGTGATGTGATGAGCCTCTGGCACAGCTTCACTGGGTGGGCTGGGACACACACACACACACACACTCACAGCAATAGGGACACACCTACGCATACAGTACATACACCTGTTTAAGGGAGATGATTGATGATAGTGCTTAAAGCCTGACTAGAAAGGTAACAGAAGACACATAAATACATATGTGAAAGTGAAATATATATTCATTTTCTTATCAGGCAACAGCTAATGTCTCAATTCTTCAACTTTGACCTTAAATTTACACCCAATTGCTACATATCTGTGTTTGTCAGTTTAAAGATAATTTTCATAACATACTGTACTAATAATATTCACATTTTGAAACCTGAAAAAATCATTAAATCAAAACTCGGATGGTTTCATGCGTGATAGCCACCTTTTGTCAGCTGCGTTTTCTCTAAGCGTGAGAGCTCTTAAGAAGTAAGAGGAGAAGAGTAAGAGGGAGCAATAAGAGATCGAGCATAAAATCATGTATCTCCTGCTGCAGGCGTGACAGTTGGCAGCTCTGATCACATTTCATGTTTAATCTGCATCGTTT